TTCACATGTTTCTGAGGTGTCCAAACTTGATTGTGGGCTTTTCAATCCCCTAGAACATATTTGCATAATAAAATGAATAGTGGAACACCTCTTTGTCCTCACAAGACATAAAGAATACTATTGAATGACATATCTCAAAACATCATAGAACATGGATGATTCATTCATTCAATACATTTCAGCTGAGTGCTTTTTGTATGCCAGGCAATATTCTAGTCTCAGAAATAATTGTGAATAAAACAGACACAGTCCTTGTTCTTGTGAACCTTATGTTCTAGAATGGGGAAGTAAAAATAAAGAGATACCTGTTGTTCATATGGGATAAGTCTATAAAGAAGATTAGGGAGAGTATTAAAGATATGTCACATACACAAATATAACATTTTATGTAGTCAGAATATTTTCTGATTATATCTGTATAATTACATTGTTTTAGAATTTTTAATATGTTTTAAACACGCAAGTACATGAACACAATTAAATCATCAATATCAATTTATAATGTGATTTTATCAAATGTGTACTTAAATGTGGTCAACTCCAAAAATAAGATGAATTGAGGATTCAAAAGTATTGACATTTATAGGCAGATATAATTCCTGGAAGGGACACACTTCAGTATAAAAATACCTTATCAATGTGTACAGATCTAAAATTCTTTTTGGTGTTGAATTCATATAAAATCAAATGCCTCATTGTGGATAACATATCTTTGTGTTGACCATGATAATGATAATAATAAAATTACCATTTATATTTAGATAATACAGAATTTTTAAAGCAAAATTTAAATTTTGATATAGCTCTGTGCAGTAACTATTTTCTCAGTTGAAGAAACTGAATCCAAACATTATGCATGAAACTTAGAGCTTGGTTCTCCTGCCCCTGTCTAATAACTAAGCTAGAAGACATAATTTCCTCATGTTAACTCCTAAACATGTGACAATACATGGACAAAAACAAGAACATCATGAGTTGACGGAGGACTTGAAGCTAAAATTAGCAAAAACCACATTCAGTATTTTCCACGTACTATCATTAGCCTAAGAATTTTGCATTGATTTTTTTATTCAGTTATAAAAGCAATTTGAATAATGATGACTATTATCCAACTTATGTAAGAAAAATTGAGATTTAGCAAAGTCGTTACTTGTAAAATGTTGAATACTCAGAAGGTAATAGAGCTGAGATTTGAATGCAAAGGTAGTCTGCTCTTGAGCTCATGCTGTGGACTTCTGCCTGTAATAAAGAAGTGAGGAAAGAATATAGGTGGAGGAGTTCAGAAAGGGTGGATTGTACTTTATTGATTTTATAGTCAAAGGCCTGACAAAGTTTAAGGATATATAATATACAGGAATATATGCATTACAAATTCAGCCCTTATACACTTTTTGTGCTGTGAATGCATACTTACCCTCTGGCTCACATCTAGCAATTTATTATATGTGTTCCATTGCTCACAAAGATCATAAACTTGGAAGAGGATAGGCTTTCAATAAAATTAGCAAGGGAGGTTTCTCTCCAACACAACATCTTGCCTCAAAACCTCTGGAGCCAAATAGCCTAGACTCAGATCCTAGCTTGAAAGAATCACTAATTGTGTTGCCTTGGTCAAATTTCTTAAGAACTTGGAGCCTCAGTTTTTTCTTCTGAAAAATGGGGATAAAAAGTTTCTATCTCATAGGATTATAGCAAAGATTAAGTGAGTTACCTTAGGGCAATGTTAAGTCCATAGTAAGAAAAACCTCAGTTTTTTCTTCTGAAAAATGGGGATAAAATGTTTCTATCTCATAGGATTATAGCAAAGATTAAGTGAGTTACCTTAGGGCAATGTTAAGTCCATAGTAAGAAAAACCTCAGTTTTTTCTTCTGAAAAATGGGGATAAAAAGTTTCTATCTCATAGGATTATAGCAAAGATTAAGTGAGTTACCTTAGGGCAATGTTAAGTCCATAGTAAGAAAAACCTCAGTTTTTTCTTCTGAAAAATGGGGATAAAATGTTTCTATCTCATAGGATTATAGCAAAGATTAAGTGAGTTACCTTAGGGCAATGTTAAGTCCATAGTAAGAAAAACCATTAAAATTGCTAGAGGTCTTTGAAAACTACTTGCATTAGTTAGCTTAGGTTACAATAACAAAATATTATAGACCTAATGGTTTAAATAACAAGAATTTATTTCTTACAGTTTTGAAGACTGGAAAGTCTAAGATCGTGTTATGGTGTTGGCCAATTAATTTCCTGGTGAGGGCTCTCTTTCTGGTTTGCAAATGGTCACTTTCTGGCTGTGTCCACATATGGCACAGAGAGAGACAAGGAAAGAGAGAGAGGCTCTCTGGTGTCTCTTCTTATAAGGACGCTAACCCCCAAATGAGGGCCCCATCCTCATGACTTCATCTAACCCTAATTAGCTCCCAAACACCTCATCTTTAAATCCCATCACATTCGGGGCTAGGGCTTCAACACACAAATTTTAGGAGAACAGAATTCTGTAAATAGCACTATTATTTATGACTTATGTGCCAGGCACTTGACAAATATCATCTCATTTAATCATCACATTAATCGTGTGATGTTGAGTATTATCATTCCTGTTTTATACAGGAGGAACTTGGGCCAAGATAGTCCGAAGGGATTGGGTCTGGACGCTACCTCTTCTTCACTGAGGGAGCCCAGCGATGTCGTGTACTTTGACATCATTACCCATTGTTGTTTCCTTGTATTCTGCCTAAACCCATGTAAACGTCCTGCTATTAACAGCCTCTCAAATTACCACATGGAATTGTGCTGGTTTCCTGTTGTGATTCTCACTGATATAGTAATTGGGGGAAGAACATGCCTAGAAACTTACCCTCAAAGTGGGATTCTGGGACTGGACGCCTCACATGTTTGAAAAGCTAGCTGTTAGCCTCCCTACTGGAAAAAGACAGGGCCAGCACGATACGATGCGTCTGGTGGCATCTTCATTTCTCAGAATCTCATCTGTGCTGGCCCAGGGCAGTGTGCAGCTATAGAGTCAGGTATCAAGATGGCCGATAGCAGTGACCCTTAGTCACTATAGTGACTATACAATGGGAAAGATGGTAGAGTTACCTGACTTCATATGAAGCCAGATAGCTGCCAGAAAACAGAGGAAACAAAAGCTGTTTGTGTCTAATAGAGAAAGCAAGAGGATAACCAGAAATTCACGTTGTGGATATTGAAGAAGTTTTCCCTCACTTCCTGTGTCCACAGCACATACATTCCTAAGTATCACACCAAGAATCTGAATATAAGGGTGGAAGAGTCAGTTTAAATGGTTGCACTCCACACTGGTGGGTAGAAATGGGATACTAATAATCTGCCAAGAGGACAGACAGGAAGTAACTGAGGACTGTGGTCCTCCAAACCCTTTGAATCTTCCTTGATTAGAGGAGATTCTCCATATTCCTAACTGGGGAACCAGGTTCCTCTACATAAAGTGGAGTCAATAAATGTACCTGGGTCATATTCCCTATGTGATGTGCCTGGTAGATTTACTCCCTCCTCTGCTACCTGTCATTGCTAGAACTCATAGCTAGAATTATATGCTATCGAATCAGGCTCACAGCTAGAATTATATCCCAGTGCATGAATAATACACAGGACAAGCCCTGCCCCAAGAAGAGAACACATGAAACAGGAAAGGATATTTATTGCCAATATGCACTGCCATGATTACTCTTCACTGTCTAGTTTCAAGACAGTTCTTAACCGAGAATGGCACATGGACTGTCTGACCTCTGAAATATAAACTGTCATGAAGGAAAAAACAAGAAGTCCTGGAACATGTGTTCATGCGCCATCAAGGCAGTAAGCCTAAAGCAATCCCATGTCTCTGAGGGAAAGGAAGAAATTAGTGTCATTTTCAAAGGCTTCACAGATGCAGGGTTGTACTTCCTACCACCTCCCAATTTAAACTGCTTCTTTGGTTATGGCAAAAGCCAGATGGATGAGGAAGAAGGACAGGAAATTATTGCATCTTAATTAGATGTTGTTATCAATTTTAGCTGGATTTCTGGATGTGTTGTCTGTATTCTCACAAATCAGCACAGCCACTGGCACCTGTTATTCTGCTCTTGATCTAGCAGATGCTCTTCCTCCATTGTTTTCAGTAAAGAAAGCAGAAAGCAATTTGCTTCTCAAAGAGAGAAGAGTATACCTTAATGAAAAGCCTCAGAGCTGCATCAATCCTTCTGCTCCACTCATAATAAAGTCCAGAAATACCTAGATTATTTTGAAATACCACTGAACAGTAAACTTAAAAAATAAAATAAAAGCATGAAGCTAATTGGACCAGTGAGTAGGAAGTAGCAAGCATGGTAGATGGTTTAGAAAGACACATGCCAGGGTCTATGAGGTAAATCTGGCAAAGTGTCAGGGATTCGCCTCATTGGCAAAGTTTCTAGGAGTTTAATGGTTTTAGACACATTAGCATATCTTTTCAAGGCAAGAGACAAATCACCACTGTACTTTTCCCCCCAGCAAGCCCTATCTACCAGACAACCCAGTAGGTTGAGGGGAAAGGGTTCCATAGTCTGAATAATATAGCTGACCTGATACTTGGGCCAGATGATATCACACACTCAAGGCTATTGGCACTGATTATGGCAGAGATGCAGTATAGAACACCTGCCACACCCCAATCCTCCCAATAGAAGGATAATAAGAACATCTTGGTTTGCTACGGAGCATTGGTAGAGCTTCAGCAGCTGACCATGGGATACCAAGAAACTATGCCACCTTATGGCAATTCAGGCTGCAGATCCCAAAACAAGATTTAAAATGCAGACTTGTTGGGAGAAATAAGGGACAGGGAGTAGGGGGAAGCTGTGAGTAGGAGTAACTAGGGAGAGCATTCATTCAGAGCACATCACAATAAAGATGTGATAAGGAAAAGAGAGAGAGGAGGCAGGAGGATTGAATAGAATAGCCCCAGATTGTAACGCAACTCTGAGAAATTTTTTTTCTTTTTTTCTCCTAGGCTGTTGGGAGGCTCAGGACAAAAATTTACTATTAGTGTCCAGCACTGAGCAGAAATGACTCAACTCTAGTATTCCTGCTGTGCCCAGTCATTCACTAGGAGCAGCCCAGAGTCAGCAGGACCTTGATGTTGATACTGAAGCAGATCCTAAGGTGTGGCCAGCATCTAGGGGAGGTCTGAGGGCACATCACCCCCACCCACACTTCCTTTCATGAATTTGTGGTTATATTTTTTATCAAAACATACACCTTTCGTTATAACCTGGAAATAGTGAACAGGAGATGGGCTCCTAACAGGTCTGGAAGGCTCTAGTAAACTTTAAGAGCAGGTGGCTCAGATGTTCATGGTAATTGATCATTTTGTTTCAGCTTTGAGGGGGTTCTTATAACCTGATAATGGTTCACTAAAGACATTTCATGGTAAGCTGGTGCCAGTTAAAACTGGGAGGCTATAGAATTACAGCCTCACTCAGATTGGCACTGTAAGACACTGATGAAGAGAATGCCATGGGCAGATGTTTGGGTAGTGTATCAGCCCACTTTATGTGGAAAGAGAAATAGCCTGACATGTGCGTTTACATTGATCTGTGGGCAGGAGTTAATTGGCTGGCTGGACAAAGACTTGGAAAGAATAAGATTTAAAAGCTAGTGACAAAGACATCTAAGAGAAAGGTGAAAGGGGAATAGAGTATAAAAATATTTGCATCCCACACAAGATGCCTACCTGAGGATATAGATCCTCGAGAAAAGAAAGATGCCACCCATTAGGTGCACAAAATGACTTACAAATGCATGGGAATCTGCTTCTCTGCCTGGTCATCCAGGTATTTCTCAATGTACCATTTCACAAAAAGGTCATGTTATCAGAGATGGTGGTTTTGTATTGGCTGAACAGTGCTACATTTTTTTAAATCAAATTTTTATGCAACTGCTGCAGCTCAGTTTTCTGTCTGCTGAAAAATAAGTCTACTTTGAGCCTTTCCATGAGAGAACCAATCATTCTGAATAGAGCTTCATTACTTTGATGCCCACTGTGGCAGTCAGCCTCTAAAGAAATGGCTCCTATGATCTTGCCTCCTGTAATTCTTGATTTGTGTAATCTCTTCTTCTTGAGAGTGTGCTGGGCATAGTGAAGTCCTTCTAACTAATGGATTTACCTGTTAAACTTTCACAGTAGATATGTATGGCATAATGGTGAGATTAGGTTATGAAAACACTCTGAATTCTCTCCTCTCTCTCTTTCTGCTCTTTTTCTGGGGGAAGGAATTTGGAATCTACCACGTCATGAGTAGCCATATTCAGAGCTCACATGATGAGAGACATATATCCCATCAATAGGCAACTAGGACTTGTGTCCTACCAACAGCTACGAGCTTGAGCTTGGAAGAAGACTATCCCTCGACTGAGCCTTCAGATGACGCAACCCTAAATGACACCTTGATAGTAGCCTTGTGAGAAGCCCTGAGTCAGAGCTCAACCAGTTACCTGAAACTCTGATTCTTAACCCACAAAAGCTCTAAGATAAAATAAATGTTGGCAATTTAAGCTGCTAAGTCTTGTAATCCAATATATAGGAATAGAGAACATACAGATTTTGGTACTGGAAGTGTGGTGCTACAATAAAGAATACCTAAATATACGGGAGTGGCTTTGCAACTGGGCAGTGGACAGAGGCTGGAAGGACTTTCAGAGCAGTGTTAGTGAAGGTCTTAGTTGCTTTGAGCTTGAGTGGATATCCTAAGGTCTACCAACAGCTTTATTGATGATTCTAGAAATGGATCCTCACCTTAAGTCTTGTTGACCACAGCCCTGGCCAACCCCTGGTTGTAGCCTCCCCAGTCATATGGAACTGTGAGTCAATTAAACATCTTTTATTTATAAATTACCCAGTGTCAGGTAGTTCTTTATAGCAGTGTGAAAATTGAGTAACACAGAGTATTGGTATTGGAGTTTGGGGTGCTGCTATAAAGATACCTAAAAATGTGGAATTGAATTCAAAACTGGGTAATGGACAGAGGTTGGAACAGTTTGGAGGGCTCAGAAGGAGACAGGAAGAGGTGGGAAAGTTGAAAACTTCTTAGAGACTTGTTGAATGGTTTTGACCAAAATGCTGATAGGGTAATGGACAATGAAGTCCAGGCTGAGGTGGTCTCAGATGTAAATGAGGAACTTATTGGGAACTACAGTTAAAAGTTACTCTTTCTACGCTTTAGCAAGGAGACTGGTGGAATTTTGCCCCTGCCCTAGAGATCTGTGGAACTTTGAACTTGAGAATGGATTTGGAGTATCAGGCCGAAGAAATTTCTAAGCAGCAAAGCACTCAAGATTTGTCTTGGTTTGTTCTAAAACCATACACTCATGTATGTTCACAAAGAGATAGTCTGAAATAGGAACTTATGTTTAAAAGGGAAGCACAGGATAAAAGTATGGAAAATTTGCAGGATAAAAGTATGGAAAATTCTTTTTCTGGCCATGTGGTAGAAAAGAAAAACTTATTTTCTGGGGAGAAATTCAAGCCACTAGCTGCAGAGATTTGCATAAGTAAAGGGAAGCTGAATGTTAATAGCCAAGACAATGGGGAAACTTTCTCCAGGGCATTTCAGAGATCTTCATGGCAGCCCCTCCAATCACAGGCCTGGAGACCTGGGAGGGAAAAATGGTTTTGTGGACCAGACCCAGGACCCCACTCTGTGCAGTCTTATCACATGGTGCTGCTCCAGCTCCAGCCATGGCAAAAAGTGGCCAACATAAAGTTTAGGCCATTGTTTCCTATGGTGCAAGCCCCAAGCCTTGGTGGCTTCCACATGATGCTGGGTCTGTGGGCACACAGAAAACAAGAGTCGAAGTTAGGGAGGCTCTGCCTAGATTTCAGAGGATGTATGGAAATGCCTGGATGTCCAGGCAAAAGTCCACTGCAGGAGTGCAGCCATCATGGAGACCCTGTACTAGGTCAATGCAGAGGGAAATGTTGGGTTGGAGCTCCTACACAGAGTCCCCACTGAGGCACTACCTAGTGCAGCTATGAGAAGAGGGACACCATCTTCCAGACTCTAGAATGGTAGATCTACTGATAGCTTGAATCGTCTTCCTGGAGAAGCTGAAAGCACCCAATGCCAGCCCATGAAAGCAGCTGTAGGGGCTGTGCCTTGCAAAGCTACAGGGCCAGAGCTGTCCAAGACCTTAAGGGCCCACCTCTTGCATCAGTGTGCCTTGGATGTGAGACCTGGAGTCAAGGGAGATTTATTTTGGGGCTTTAAGATTTAATAACTGCCCCATTAAGTTTCAGACTTGCATGGGGCATGTATCCCCTTTGTTTTGGCCAATCTCTCCAATTTGGAAAGGGAACATTTACCCAAGCCTGTATTCCCATTGTGTCTTGGAAGTAACTATTTTGCAGCCTCATAGACAGAAGAGACTTACCTTGTCTCAGATGAAACCTTGGACTTGGACTTTTTCATTAACACTTGAATGAGTTAATACTTTGGGGGACTGTTGAGAGGGGAAAATTGAATTTATCAATGTGAGAAGACATGGCATTTGGAAGGGGCCATGGCAGAATGATATGGTTTGGCTCTGTGTCCTCACCCAAATCTCATGTCAAATAGTAATCACTGCTTATCAAGGGAGGGAGCTGGTGGAAGGTGATTGGATTATGGGGGTGGTTTCTCCCATGCTAGTCCCATGATAGTGACTGAGTTTTCATGCAGTCTGATGGTTTAAAAGTGTGGCACTTCCACCTTCATGCTCTTTCTCCTGCTGCCATGTGAGACATACTTTGCTTCCTCTTTGCCTTCTGCCATAATTCTAAGTTTTCTGAGGCCTACCCAGCCCTGCAGAACTGTGAGTCAATTAAGCTTATTTTCTGTATAAGTTACTCAGTCTCAGGTAGCTCTTTATAGCAGTGTGAAAATGGACTAACACAACCACCATGGTGTCCTGCAAATGTTGCTTCAGACAGAGGCTGTATTTTATGTTATTGGATTTATAGCCACTGAACTCACTGTTATCTCCATGTTCCCACTGACCCAGGAGCAGCTCACTTGACCAAATGTGACTCAGTTTGAAGGTCAGTTTGAAGGCGAAACTGTGTGATGTTGGAAAACTGGTTCTATTGAGCTCTTTATGTGCTCGAACACCACCACTGGTATTTGGGTCTTTCTTTGTCATAACCATAGCACGCAGATCTAATTGAAAGTTGAAACTTCTCCCTGGTCATTCTGCGCTCTTCATATGGCTGACCCAGTAGAAAAGAAGATAATTCTATTGCTTGGAAGAGCTCAGCTTAATTATTTGGGAGAAACTGGATTGCTTCTATAAAGAAGGGAAAAAGAGGAGTATGTCTAGATTCCAGTTGGGGTTCAATTTGGTACTTTTCAATAACCCCTTGGCTTAAAGTCCAGGTCAGGCAACAGATTTACAAATTTCCCTAGAGCTTATTGCTTTGTAACATAAATTTGCCAAATTGCCAGTTAAGAGTAATTCAAAGGACAATTCAGGCCCTCCATGCTGGAATGGAGGGCAAGGTACAGCATATTTTTCCTAGAATGTGCTAGTTTTTGGCTTGCTTAAGACAATCCCACACGTTCCCTTCTAAGGCTCATTCCTTAGAGTCCCTGGAATCAAAAGCTCTGATAAGCCCTCTTGAGGTTGGAAGCATTAAAGTCACTAAAACTCTTTCCTTCAGAAATAACTAACACTTCTCTACAGTTTCACGAAAGCTGAACATTCTGAAAAGGTTGTTTGCTCACAACGTTTGCCAGCAAAGTCATTTGGCTAGAGCTTTGTCTCTTGCCAGTATGGTATGGGGCCTTCCTAAAGCTGTGTTGGTTTTCAAAGGCAAGGACAGATGACCATTGTACTACTATAACAAAATACCAGAGACTGGGTGATTTACAAAGCTTATAAATTTACTTCTTATGGCTCTGAAGGCTGGGAAGTCAAAGATCAAGGCACCAGCAGGAATGGCATATAGTGAGGGCTGCTCTCTGCTTCCAAGAGGATGCCTTTTGGCTGCATCCTCTGGAGGAGAGGAATGCTGTATTCTCACGACTTCTGTCTTCACATGGAAGAAGGGATGGAAGGGCAAGAGAGCACTCCCATCAACCTTCAGCCCTTTCACAAGGATGCTAATCCTCTTCATGAGGTCAGAGCCCTCAGTGTCTTATTTACCTCCCCAAGGCCAGTCCTCTTAACACTGTTGCATTGGGGATTAAGTTTCAACATGAATTTTGGAGGGAACACCATCATTGAAACCATAGCAATCATTCTATCAGTTCCCCCAGTCACCCACCATGCATCTTCAGCCTATGTGTGGGAGGGCAGTGGTGAAAGCCCACCATTGCAGCAACAAAATGGAAACAGGTTTCAGTATTTGCCACTTCAAATCCCACCCACCACCGTGCTCCTTCACTTGCGTGATTCATTATGGGGCTGGCAAATGCTCTGAACTCATGGTTTCCCGTCTCATGGTGATTTTATCATGTCGATCCCATTTCTACTCAGCCACAAGGTCAATTCTGAAAGGTTTCAATGACTGTATTGCACAAGTAAGGGATTCAAATTTTCTCTTCCCCGGGAACCTGGGGTTTCATATTCAAATACACCTGCCCACTCCTAAGCGAATTTCCTCATCTCATGCCAGTATCTTCTTCCTTAAGAAAAGACAAACTATTCTTAGTCACAGACCATAGTTCCCCAGATAATTCTGTTTTATTTGTGTTTTTAGTATTGATTTTTAAGGGGGAAAGTACTGACATTTTTAACAATGCATTTTTTTATTATGAAATGCAGTGTTACTCTCTCAGTAGGATTCTTTGATGCAGTATTTGTGAAAGACAGATGGGGATATAGCAAATGGCTCATTATAACCCATGAAGCACTGGCTATAGAGCAGTAAAGACAAAGTAATATCCATTACTATTAGTAGAAATAGATTACAATTGACTACTTTAATCAAATATATTTAATATACTATTAGCATCTGCAGAGTGATACACTAATGTATTAAAATGCCATTGATCGAGGGTGAAAATTTAACCATATTGTATTGTCAAAACCAGTGATTCCATTAATATTATAAGCTCTTATTGTAGTGCCAGTGTTCTCTTCATGGAATCTTTATTAGAGAGGATAATTTGCCAATAACATGGCTTCCTTCACGTATCAGTCAGTAGTACCATTATTTTATATATGTGAGCCTTTACAGAGATTAGTGAATAAATTTCTACTAAGCCAAAAGGTACTTTTGGCATCAAACTCTTTTAGCACTGGGCTTTTGCTCACGGGCTGGTATGATAGCACACAACTGTTCTTTGTTGTTTGGCTACCAGCTTTGAACAGTTGAAAATGACAGCAAAGAACAGAGAGCTAGCAAAGGCTTCCATGTAAAGATCCTCCTATGAACTATCTTTAAGTGTTGGTATTTGCTAATGGTAAACGGTTAATAGTAAATGCAAAAGTGTTTGGTTTAGAATCTTTTCAGTCACCATTAGAGAAAAATAATATGCTACTTGTGTTTTGTCCTAGATGGGAGAGGAATTCATTAGAAACCAACTAAAATAAAATGCAAAAAAGCTTGAGTCCAAAGACTAGACTAAGTCTAGATGATGTAGGAGAGTGGATACTTATTTTCATTGTGGAATGCAGAGAATAAGATGAGCGAATGCTTTAAGATTGCTAGTCAAACTGCTTAGAGATTCAATTTCTAAATATGCCTAAATGCTGTGAATCAAACTGTAGTGGATCTCCCTTTCCATCTGCATGAATAGTTCTCTTATTGGTCTGTTTTAAGTCCAATAACACCAGCCCTGGCTTGCAATCTTATTTTACTTTTGCCGTTAAGTCTCAACAATAGTTATTAGTTAAATATCCTTATGAATATTTTATATGTTGGCCTTTATTGAAAAATTCTAACTGCATGAACTGCTAATATTATAAAGTATTGAAATATGCATGTATATTTACAAAGCCTTTATAATATGTTTTTAAAGTAAGCTGGTCTAACCTGCAGCCCATGCACCACATACAACCCAGGATGGCTTTGAATGCTGCCCATCAAAAATTTGCAAACTTCCTTTAAACATTATGAGATTTCTTGGGGGATTTTTTTTTAAAGCTTATCAGCTCTTATTAGCGTATTTTGTGTGTGGCCCAAGACAATTCTTCTTCCACTGTGGCCCAGGGAAGCCAAAAGATTGAACACTCTTGTTTTAAAGCTTTGGTCTTATAATTTTAAAAACCTTAATAATAATGGTTTGATGTTTCTTAAATTATCCCAAATGACAAACTTTGACAATATTTATAAAATGTATTTTCAGATCATGTGTGTGTATGTATTTCAAACTGTATATTTATATATTTTAAAATACATATATGTGTATGTATGCAGATATAGATAATATAGATATAGAAAGTAAGTTCAGACATTATTATTATGATACCTACAGGAGAAAAAAAACAGATTTGGGGAGAGTGAGTTTTATCCAAATTTAGTATTGCAAGAGTAAACCTCAAGCCTTTGGTATGGAATGGAGGTATTCACTCAGAGATCTACATCATCTGTTATCATGAAGCTCTTTTTCTTTATCTTTTTCAAGTAAAACTGGGAGAAAATTTATTTGGAATTAGTATAATTTGTAAAAGCAAGACATTTTGGAGAAAGATACTATAGCTTTCCCAAGAAGTGGTTTGTCCTTAGGAGAGAAACTGAGTAACTTTTTAATGTAGATGGGACAATTAACTTTTCTTTGCATTCCAAGTGACCATCACAAACCAGCTTATAATAGATGGTGCAAAATCATTTTTTCCCTTGTGTTATCTAATTACCTGCTTTCTTCATCAATTGCAACTAGCTAAGAACTAGTTTATAACAACTAGCTGAGAAAAACAAGCTAAGAAAAAACAAGCAATGATGCAATCAAGTATAGATTCGAGTAATCAATTCTACTTTCTCCAAATTTAAAAACAGAGCTGCCACAAATAGTGTGATGGGACACAGAAAGCAATATGTGACTTTCACTTTTTCATTGGATTGAATGAGTACAAAAAATTCTGTAGGCTTTGAGTTTATAAAATTTTACGTCTGAGATATATCTAAAGAAAAAGTGCTTTACTTTTCAAAATATATTGAGTTTTCTCTTAAGCAGGACTCTAAAATTTAAGAAAATTATCCAAATGTTACCATGCTTATGAATGTTTATATCCATAACCTCTCATAAACACTTGCTGATTCTTAATCTTGTCATCTGGAGGCTTTGATATTATACAGCAATAAAATATTGTATGCACCTGAGAAATTATGATAATAATAGTCTTCAGTGAAAGCATTTGTGAACTTATATTTTGGGTAAATTACACTAACTTACGGAAACAAATTTACAGTGATATATAAATTATTCAAATGTGAATTCAATTTTTCTTAGTTTATATCTCTGGAAATGGAAGCAATTTTTATCATTATTCTCTTTACCTTACATACTAATTTGGGCATGGGCTATATGAATCAGTTAACTGTGAAACTATTTTATTTAAAGAAAGCTAAACATGAATTATTTTAGAAAATACGTTTATTTTAAATATGAATAATCATATCTAAACATATTAATTAAAATTCTTTGAAATTTAAAGTATTAGATTACTTAAAATACAGAGCTATTTATTGTTTAATTTAGCAATTACTTATCTCAAATGAAGTTTATATGTATAAATTTCTGAAATTATTGTGATTTAGTAATTAGCTATTTGTAAACACAGTTATGGAACTGTAGTTAGTATTAAATAGAAACTGATTTTTTAAGTATGTAATTTTGCTGTGATACAACACAATGGGTTTATATATAAGCCTCAGATGACCTCACTTGTTTATGAAAATGATGTAGCATCCCATAATATCTTTCTAATGAAATACTTTCAGCTGAACTTATCAGATGCACTTTAAAAGCATGTATGTATAGTCCATATAGTCAGTAAACTCAAAACTTATTCCTATGATACATAAAATAAAACATATTTCAGATTATGGGGCTTAAACTTCTTACGGTGAAATTTGAGTATTGTAAAAAGTGCACACACTTCTGATAGGAAAATTTGTCTTTATTTCTCCCTTTGACCTAACTTTCAAAATATGTAGCTATACTTGAAGTGTAAAGGTTACGCTTATTCCAGGGTTCTTACATTCAGGAAATTTATAAAGTTTTAAAAGCACTAGATATTGGCAGGATTATGTCACCATAGCAACCCGTATCCATGAATAGACTCTAAATATCTAACCCAAAAGACAATGATTAGGTCACTGCTATGAGATGCAAAACAAAGCCAAAATTATTGATACAGAATTCCAGAAAGTAGGCGTTGGTTATAGATACATATTTTATCCTTCTTATTAAGAACTTGAATTGCTTCAATCAATTAAATCAAATGATTTGTTAATCATTTTAACAAACGCTTACTAATATTGTTTGGCTATGTCCCCACCCAAACCTAATCTTGAATTGTAATTTCCATAATCCACATGTGTGGTGGCAAGGACCTGGTGGGAGGAATTGAATCATAGGGATGGTTTCCCCCATGCTTTCTCATGATAGTGAGTAAGTTCTCATGGGATCTGATGGTTTTCTAAGAACCTTTCCCCTTCGCTCAGCACTTATTTCTTTCTCTTGCCTCTAGTTGAAGAAGGACATGTTTGCTTCCCTTTCTGCCGAGATTATAAGTTTCCTGAGGCCTCCCCAGCCAAGTGGAACTGTGAGTCAACTAAATCTCTTTTCTATATAAATTATCCAGTCTTGGGCAATTATTTATAGCAGCACGAGAACGGATTAATACAGTAAATTGGTACTGCAGAGAGTAGGGTGCTGCTGTGAAAAATACCCCAAAATGTGGAAGCAACTTTGGAAGTGGGTAACAGGTAGAGGTTGGAACAGTTTGGATGGCTCAGAAGAAGGGAAATAATGTGGAAAAGTTTGGAACTTCCTAGAGACATGGAGGGCCCAGAAGACAGAAAGATGTGGGAAAGTTTGGAATTACTTAGATTTGTGGAAGGGCTTTGGCCAAAATGTTAATAGTGATAATGCACAATGAGCTGCAGGCTGAGGTGGTCCCAGATGTGGATGAGAAACTTGTTCGGAACTGGAGTAAGGGTCACTCTTGTTGTGCTTTAGCAAAGACATTGGTGACTTTTTGCCCCTGCCCTAGAGATCTGTGGAACTTTGAACTTGAGAGAGATGATTTAGGATATTGGGCAGAAGAAATTTCTAAGCAGCAAAGCATTCAAGAGATGACAGAGCATGGAAGATTGAAAAATCTGCAATCTGACAATGCAGTGGAAAAGAAAATCCTATTTTCTGAGGAGAAATTCAAACTGGCTGCAGAAATTTGCCTAAGTAGAGAGGAGCCGAATGTTAATCCCCAAGACAATAGGGAAAATGGTCTCCAGGGCCATGTCAGAGGTCTTCACCACAGCCCCTCCCATCACAGGCATGGAGGCTTAGAAAGAAGAAATGGTTTCCTGGGCTGAGTCCAGGGTCCCCATGCTGTGTGAAATCTAGGGACTTGGTGCCACTCCAGCTATGACTAAATGGGGCCAAGGTACAGCTCCAGCCATGGCTTCAGAGGATGCAAGCCCCAGTCCTTGGCATATTCCACGTGGTGTTGAGCCTGCAGGTGCACAGAAGTCAAGAATTGATTTTTGAGACCCTACACCTGGATTTCAGAGGATGTATGGAAATACCTGAACGTCCAGGCAAAAGTTTGCTGCAGTGGCAGAGCCCTCATGGAGAACCTCTGCTAGGCCATGCAGAAGGGAAATGTGGGGTCGGAGCTCACACACCAAGTCCCCATTGGGCCACTGCCTAGTGGAGCTGTGAGAAGAAAGCCAACATCCTCCAGACCCTAGAATGGTAGATCCTCCGACAGCTTGCTTCATGTGCCTGGAGGAGCCACAGACACTCCATGCTCGCTCGTACAAGTAGCCAGGTATGGGGCTGTACCCTGCAAGGCCACATTGGTAGAGCTGCTCAAGGACATGGGAGCCCACCTCTTGCATCAGCACACCCTGAATGTGAGATATGGAGTCATAGGAGATCATTTTGGAACTTTAAAGTTTAATGGCTGCCCTATTAGATTATGGACTTACATGGCACCTTCAGCTTTTTTGTTTTGGCCAGTTTCTACCATTTGAAATGGGTGTATTTACCCAATGCCTATTCCCCCATTTTACCCAGGAAGGTATTAACTTGCTTTTGATCTTACATGCTCATAGGTGAACGGGTGCCTTGTCTCAGATGAGACTTTAGACTTCTGAGTTGATGTTGGAATGAGTGAAGACTTCGGGGAACTGTTGAAAAGGCATGATTGGGTTTTAAAATGTGAAGATGTGAGATTTTGGAGGAGCACCAGGGGCAGAATTTGTGGTTTGGCTGTGCTTCCACTTAAATCTTATCATGAATTGTGGTTCCCATAATCACTACATGTTGTGAGAGGAACACAGACGACGGAAATTGAGTCATGGGGATGGTTTTCCCCATGCTGTTCAGGTGATAGTGAGTAAATTATCATGAGAGCTGATGTTTTTATAAGGGGCTTCCCCCTTAGCTTGGTTCTCATTCTTCTCTCTTTCCTACTGCCATGATTGTAAGTTTTCTGAGACCTCCTCAGCCATGCTGAACTGTGAGTAAATTAAATCTCTTTCCTTTATAAATTACCCAGGTTCAAGTATGTCTTTATCAGAAGCATGGGAACAGACTAATACATTTCCAAAGCATCTGCCTTACATTAACTTATTCATTCAGGATTGGGAGACAGAACTAAAATGAGATTTCTGAATCTTTTAATCCAGTTCAAGAATTAGCTACACAGCTGAACTACTGTAACCTAAATCAGAATGCGACGGCTGTCAACTCTTTTGTACTGTGGGCTCACATAGAGTGACGCGTGTCAGAGCCTAGTGAACAGGCTCCACGGAGATGATGACAGGCACTTCTAAGGGAAAGACCAGTGCCAACAGAGGCCAATATTTGAAATGAACAGGTATCAGGTGTATTAGAGACAAGAAGAAGGAATGGGGTAGGTAGGAACAGGAGCTGAGATTAAAGACACTGGGTAACGCTGGATGGTAGAATTTGTTAAATGCTGTGCTAAGAAGTTTTGAGCTTTTGGCATGGAGCATTTAAAAGTGGAAAGATAATAATAAAAATAAAACTTGAAAATCACTCTTCAATAAAAGACCATTGGTTACAAGTCAGAAGGTTTATTGATGAGCAGATAAAAGTTTGAGGTTGGTCTGTAGTTCTCAGGCATAGGAGAGAGGAATGGAAAGGAGATTTAGAATTTGGGTGTGGATAAATAAACAGCAGGGAACTGAGAATGTTGCTGACAAATTGATCTATGTGGTTCAGTCTTCAGATCTTCTATACTGAAAAAAATGGAATACCACTTTGGAGCTAGAAGTTAGTGAATTTGGTATGAAAAAGTTTGGGATTGATAATTTGGAAACACTGCATTGTGGTAGACATGAGAAATATCTGTCTGGGTCCTGGAGAAAGAGGTTGCTGATCTGGGAGTCTCTGTGTTAAGGCGATCTGTAAACAGGTGTGAGTGAAGTGAGACAAGAAGAAGCTAGACCTGTGTGGCCACCTGCATCCCAGGCAGGGTTGGGTAGAGGACTCTGATTAGGGGGATGAGTGTCAGTAATGACTCTATATCCACAGCCTTTAGCCATGAGACAGATTTTTTTGTATGCCTGTAATCTTATGGGTTTGACATGAAAATTGATGATAAGATTTACAATATTAACTGTACTAACAAATAATGTTACATGGGTACTAGCAAAGGGAATTTCTTAGATTAAAAATGAATTCATTAATTAAGATTTACTGTTTAGTATTTTATGTTATGTATATAGGTACAAAATTTTGTTTATATTTTCTTCCAAGTAAGTGTTGGTGCTGTTCAATTTCTAAGTCCAATTTCGTAAAATAAAGGACTTAATTTATATCCTCACCAGATAAATGCTGTGTGTTTTCTAGATATACAAACATTATCAATAAATATGCCTACTCTTTCACATGCAATGATGATATGGTATGCTGGGTTTCACTCACAGACTGACTAATTATTATACTTTATTGAGCACGAATTCTTGTTCTCACTAGAGTATTGGTGTTATGTATATTTGATTTGTTCAGTTTTTAATACCAGAGATGGATACTTATAGAATCTGTTGCTAAGAATCCTGCCATTATGTTTAATGTCTTTTATTAATCTTTGCTTCTAGAAGCATAAGCCCATCTCTACTTGCATTCAACACTATGCTATGTAACTTTGCATGGCTTCCTCCACTTACATGCATGTGTGCTTAGGAAATGTAACATGTTTTATTTTCGATTTAAGAGGAATATGTTGCTTTGTTTTATAAAACATTGTACTGGTTGATATAGTAACTTGTCTGAGTCTGATTTTTTTTTTTTTTGTTTAATGTAGCCAGTCTTAGAAATTTAGTGTAATGTGGTTTTGCTAAATAAGCGAGTTGACTGTAGCAATGTGATTTGACTGATGAAATAAGTGAGGATCGATACAATACGCAAAGGATCTCAGAGGGAGGCATCCTTGAACCTGGCCTCTTCTTAGAGTCTTGAACAGGGAGACAAAGTTACCACAAAGTTTGTTCATGTGAAGTGAGGATTCCCTCAGTTTTGAAAATCTCTTCTTTGCATTTTCAGAAGTGTATACATTTCTTTCAATAAACCTACCACCTCCTCTTTTATGTCTGACTCCACAGCTGCCCACACACCAAGTACAAGTAATGGAAATAAAATAATTTCAACATATTTATGTTGAAAGATTCAGTTGGGGAAATTCTAATTTCAAAACGTATTACTCAACAAGTCCGAGGTCCAAGAAGATCTGAGGTCCACTCTTACGCAAACACATAACATGTAACACATGCACACACACACACACACACACACACACACACACACACACAAACAATATCCATAGTAATTTTCTAAATATAATTTCTCTGATAAGGCATACTTCCTTAATAAGTTACATTGAGAGTCAAGGCAGTGAAGAAATTCAGTTACCTCAGGGCTCAGGCATCCAAGTGCTCTGAGGCCAGCTGAGTGACAAAAATGGCTGCTGACCTCCTCAGCGGTGAGAGAATTTATTTCAGGCCTAATGTAGTCTGGATTGCACGGAAGGACATAGGACTGAAATGTTAAGAAACTGAGTGGATTTTTAAAATCCTGAAATGTTTCTAAAAATGTGATTTTCTGACCCCCTAGTTCTGGAAAAACACTTACTTTTCTTCCTTGGTCTTTTGCTGCTGTGAATTGTTAGCCACAGCACCTCCAGAGAAGGTGCTGGCTGTCCCTGCAGAGCCTGATCGTGCTCCTCGGGAGCCTGGAGCCCTTGTCTACCATTGCAGTGAGTTCCTCAAGGGGCTGGGAAGGAAGGTATCATGTCCTCTCTCTGCTTTCAGAAGCAGCCTTGGGGAAAGGGCCCTGGCAGACAGGCCCTCAGATGTCTGTGTAGATGATAGGGCAGGGTTAGGTTTTGAGCAGGGCAGTGGCAATGGTGGTGCTTATAAACTTCCGGGCAGTAACCAACACATAACAGTATGTACTAACATCTATCAATTAAATTAGAGATTCATTTGCTAATCATAGGAAACACATCCAGACCAGATTCTTTTTCTTTTTTTTTTTTTTTTTTTTGAGACAGAGTTTCACTCTTGTTACCCA